AAATACAGACTTGACCAAAATATAATGATCTCAACGCAGAAACACAATATTTCTTATCTGATCAAAATCTCCACTTAAATTCCACTAAAGACAGTCACTAAAATCAATTTTCGATCCCCTGCTGACTAAAGATTGAATAAATTTCAACCTAACTCACACAATCAAATGATTTCCCACGTTTCAGAAGCTTCCACCTGCCAAAGTAAATGAGACTGACGCTTCTTTAGCTTTGACTTAATTTGAATCACGGACTATATCCCACATGTAAGACCCGCTACAAAACCTGAAATAAAATGCTTGGGAAAAGTAATCGTTTCTTACTAACAAACAAAAAAGGGACTTCAACGCCTAGGGTCCTAAAGGTTCAAAGTAAAGCATCAGCTTCTTTGTAAATCCGATTGCTTTTGCACAGCGAAGAACGTGCAGTTATGGCAACAGGAGGTCCGTAAATAGTCGCCACATATAAGCATAAACATATAAACACTCAGATATAAGAGTTGGTAGCTTCTGAAATCCGTGGCTGATCCAGAACCGATAGTGTTGGGCTGCACAGCAGGCAGTCTCTGCTACCAAAGCACCCAACAATCTATGGTCGTGACAAGAAACCTCGCAACATATTATAACCGATAACCACTTTAAGTAGCTAATTTTCAAAACCAAATCGATATTCCATCTGTTTCGATCTAGATGGTACGATGAAAATTGACAAAATGAAGATAAAAAATCTGCGGCTGAAGTCAATTTTGTTTTTACTTTGCGTTCACCTGTTTTTTATCACGATATACGGACAAACTATATTATTTCAATAAGAGATTACAGGAGAAGCAATCGAAAGGTAGATTAAAACAAAAATGAGAGATTGAATCAAGGTGAATCCCAGGTGAAACGATTCTACGGAAATCACTCCACGGAAATTCCATACGGAATTCCGCAAAATTTTGAAAGTATTCCTTTCATAATTTTGCGAATTTTTTTGGAAGAATTCCATACAGAATTGCACAAAATTTTCAATAAAATTCCACAACTTTATTGTTTGCTGATTTTTATGTGATTTTAAAATAACTGCTGCTACTATAACGAAAACTAGTCGACGATGATGTTCCTGGTGGATATAATATAGAATTTGTGATAGATTAATTAATATCTAGTCGAACTTATTTGAGAGGTCAATAAAACGTTTTCCAAAAGAAATTTACTATTTTTCAGTCAACTATCTAACGGTAATTGAATTTCTCGACTAATTTTTTTCAGTGTATCCACCAGCAGTTATTTTAAAATTACAAAAAAATCAGTAAAAAATACACTCAATAAAAAAAAACTAGTAGATTTGACTACTTTTTAACTACCCTGCATAGTTCAATAGGTCCTTAACTGAATTTAAAAAGTTGTATGGACTATTAAAAAGTAGTTAAAAGAACTAAGAATTTAGTTGGGTCAAGGAGACTTTGTAATTGTTCTAATTTTTGAAGTTGATTTAACTACTTTTGTTAAATACAATTAACTACTAATTCTTAACTCCATAAAAAATAGTTAAATTACACGCACATAGTTAAAATAACCAAAAAAGTAGTTACTTTTACTACTTTCAAGTCAGTTAACTAAAGGTAGTTGAGGATTTCGGCTAAATTTTTTTTAGTGTACAGTTGTGAAATTCTAAAACAAAAATTTTGTGCAATTCCGACAAAAATTTTGTGCAATTCTGTATAGAGATTATGTGTGTAATTCTTATAAAAAATTCGCAAAATTACAAAAGAACTTCTTTCAAAAATTTTGCGGAAATTTTTGCGGAATTCCGTATATAATTTTTACGGAATTCCGTGTGGAATTTCCGTGGTGTAGTTTCCGTAGAATCGTTTCACCTGGGATATAAAGAAGCACATTAAGTAATACACTATTACGAGAATTCAGTGTTCCCTAATATTATCGAAGTATAATTAAAAACCGCTGCCAAGTGGTACTTCCCTTTCTTGTAGGGTAAGTCCGGGGGAGTTGGCCATGCGGGAGAGATGGCCAATTCAAATATTTTATAGAATTTGCTGCTAGGTATCGCTTATTAAAGATTAGTTCGCTTTATTTTGTGGCAAAACACAATTAAAAGAAAAAACTTAACGAAAAATATTGAAAAAGTATGCAAAAATCTGATTTGTTATTTTGACCAGTTCGGAAAAAAAGTGATGAGTTTACGTTTCTCACTTGTGTTATGTTATTTTATAGAATAATTTTGAATTTTATGTTTTTTTGTAAAGTACATGACCCAAGCTTTGTCATAACTTTATATTTATTCAAAAATTTTATTTACTTATTTATATTTTAGTTGTGTCAATTTGTCTCCTGACATTAGGAGAGATGGCCATACTGTTTAAGATATTGGCACCCTTGAGATTCGTGTGTTCGCTAAAAAAACATTAATTCTGTGGCAAATGACATTTTATATGACATATATTACAAGACACTCCAACAAAGATTTTCAAATTTAAATATGATCAAATAAAATAATCACTATTGTGTAATTAAATCTTAAAAACGTTTATAAACAATCATAACACAGGTCTACAAAATAACACTTTTTTATATATATAGCGGAATGGTTTCCAATGTATTTTTGTGTGCTGAACCCGATTCCGGGTTCCAAAATTGCGTATCACATCAGGATTATGAATAAAGTGGAGGTAAAGTCTCCAAAAACAGTGTTCTGAGGGTTTTCATTATTTTTTTATTCCTTAACCAGACGTGCTAGACACTTCTATATATGCTTAAATTAAAGCTTATATTGTACACTTTAAGACTCATTTACGCAGGATTAAAAAAATTTGAAATTTTGAAAAAATAGGGGTAAATACCCCAAAAATCTTTTTAGGTGATTTGAACCTAATTTTTATTTAAAATTAAAAATTTTTTTTTCCTTGCGCATATGAGTCTTAAAGTGTAAGATATAAGATTTAATTTAAGCCTATATAGAAGTCTCTATCACGTCAGGTTAAGGAGAAAAAAATACTGAAAACCCTCAAAAACACGTGTTTTGGAGACTTTACCCCCACTTTACTCAAAATCCTGACGTGATACGCAATTTTGTAACCCGGGATCGTGTCAAGGACACAAAAATAAATTGGAAACCACTCTGATATCTCAAAAAAATACCTTGTAGACTTGTTGTGTTAGTGAGACAGACAAACAGAGAGCTCTTATCGAAGACTGGATTCAGTGCAATGATTGTCACCTTTGGCTTCATGAAAATTGCACTGAATTTAATGATAAATATTCGAAATGTGGTCAGAAGAAGCAAAAGAAGACATTAATCACTTTAAATTAAGAATTCTGATCGATAAAGCGAAAAGCCAAAGAATGATTTTAAAGTATTGTCCATCTCCCCCGTACATTCCGGGAGAGATGGCCAAACGCGTTTTTTTAAAAAATATTAATTTTAAGATTGTTTACATTTGAAAAATTTATCATTTCTATTATTATTTGTAAGTTAAATGTTCAATGTATAATTAGCAATGAAAGTTAATACATAAATCACTTTCTTCTTATTTTTACATGCCTTTGAAAAAACTATAACCGCAACTCCCCCGGACTTACCCTATTCATTTGATGAATATATTGCTTCCTCATAGAGATACACTGTTAAAAATATCCATGGGGAATTTAATATACTTGTATATGAAGTAATTTGCATATACCGTATATTAAATTTAATATACCACAATGTTGTGATATTAATACACAGGTATATTAATATCAATATATTTGTGTATATTAAATTTAATTTACTGCGGTATATTAATATTAATATACCGGTATATTAAATTTAAAACATCAAAATCTCCTGCTAAAATGATTATAAAAAAAATAATTTAAACAATTAATAAAAATAAACATTAATTATAACTAATACTATCATTTATAATTTTATCTACTTGTATCTTTTACGTTCGAATCTCAGAATTAAATTAAAATTTGAACCCTACGGGGATTGAACCCAGGCGCACCTACCTAATCTAAGACCTAACGCTAACGCTTTAACTACCGCGACTAAATAACCGAATTAGAAGTTAATATTCGCACTGTCCATATAAACTGTAACTGCTGAAGACATAAGATTGTGTAAAATATTTAAACATTTCGATTTAGTTATTATACAAAATTAAAGATATATTTAATACAAAAATTTATTACTTATTTAAAATACAATTAGTGTCTCTAATTATTAATATTTTTTCTACTTCACCTAGATAGTTGCAATTTTTATTAATTTAAAATTTTCTAATCCTATTTAAAGTATTTAAAGTAATAAGATATAGACAGTATTGTCGTAATTTAAATTTCTTTTTACAATTTACCTAAAATCATCCAATTCTTCCATAATTTTACATTATACAGTAATAAGAATGTTCTAAAAAAAAGAAATGTTTGAAATAAATTTTTGATAAATATTTAAAGAAATTATTGTTGCTGAATATTAACTTTTTGCATAATGCAACTAGACAAAGATGATTTGTAACTTTTATCACAAATGCTGTTTATTCACCTCTTATTTTTTGTTTCGTCTGAAAAATGTTTACACTTTTCTTATCAACAACTTGAAAGAGAAATATTTTTATACAAACAAATGTATTATTTTTTCTTTGAAAAAGTACTAATTTTTTTATTTATGGATGGTAATTGTTGTGAAATTCAACTAAATAAATATTTAAAATGAAAATGAACGAAATTTAGTGGAAAGTCATTTGAATCTATACCATTATTAACCTTAAAACTACAGGGGAAAAAATTGTGTAAGTATATTTAATAGAAGCGAATTTAAAAAATTTTTTAAGTAAACTTTTAGAGTTGTACACTGAAAACAATTTATTTGATTCAAACAACCTGCCACTTGACTATTATGTCAAATAAATATTTAATTAAAATAAGTAATATTGTAGTAATTATTAAATTAATTAAAAATAATATAATTGCATTACTAAAAAAAATACAAATTAATATTTATTTGATAAAAGCTAATCAAATAGTCGATTAATCACTGAAAAAACCTAGTTTCAAATTGAGTATGAATAAAATTCCATATTTAATTTGATAATTATCCCAGTTTCATTTTTGCTGCGAATCAAATTGAGTATGGAATTTATACTTAATTTGAAACCAGGTTTTTTCTGTGATATTTAATGATATCAAATATTTTAATCAAATAAATTTTTGATTCAATGCAAAACGTAAAAGTTGAAAATAAATCATTAAAATAACTACTCTTTTAAACATATAAGACACGTACAAATTTAGGATAAATAAAGCATTAATACACTAATGTATTAATATTACTATATATAGATGTACATTACATTAACTTAGAGTACATGTATTTTAAAGTTAATATACCGTGGTATATTAAAAGTATATTAAATTTACAAACATCAGGATTAAGACACCAATATATTAATATTACCACAAAAAGGGATCTTAATATAATTCAAAGTACAGTTTCTTAAATTTAATATATATTGGTATATTAAAAATGTTGTAAATTTACGAACATTTTTAACAGTGTAGGTCACATTATTTTTTTTCAATTACAAAAATTTTATATCATATTTTACTGTTAAGATCAACTTGTTCCAACCAATTAACCCAAGTTTAAACTTTCAATTAAAAATTTATAATTATTAATGTTTGAAGCTAATTTATTCTTTTGTATCGGATTAGTTGTATCAAAAAACTTGCAAAGTTACTAAGAATATGTCAAACTAATATATTAAAATATGAACCTGTACATTTCAGGAGAGATAGCCAATTGAATTTTTTTAAGAAACATTCATTTTCAAATTGTTATCATTACAATTTTATAAATAATTTTTTGTTTTTTCAAAGTATAATGTTCACTTTTTAATTATCAATAAAAATTAATACATAAATTGCTTCCGAGACTGCTTCCGTTTTATTCTTACCGACATTTAAAAAAAGTATGGCCATCTATCCCGGTTTTACCCTATATACTATCAAAGTGATTTTAATAGGGTTCCTAACGACTTTGGAACCCTATAAATTAAAGAAAGTAGTAGGGGTTGAAATTTTGACATACTAAGTAGCACTGTTATTTTCAGATCCATATATAGTTTTGATAAAATTTTATGAATTTTAATTTGTAAATAAAGCCTTTTGAAGGATTTTTCAAGTAGTTCTCAATGTCAGAAATTTTTTTTTCAAAATTAACCCTGAAAAATCTATTTAAAATACATATTTATAAATTAAATATTAACCTCTACTACTTACTATAATTTTTTTTTAAATGTACAAATATTTGTCAGATTTGTTATTTCTTTTATTAGAACAATAATTTACCAAAGTATTCAGTCAATCAAATAAATTTAGTGTAACATTTTTCTTAGAAAATGTCTCATATAATGATGTAACTCATGTTATCTGGATACGTTGCAATTTGATGCTATTAGTCACTACATAAATTATATTATACCTCATATATTACAAGTAAATTATTATAATAAAAATTCCTTAAAAAACTAAAAAATAAATAGTAATATTTTCTATAAATGACTTTGTTATTTAAAGATGATTCAAGCGAATCCGTTTAATTTTTAAAAGCCCTTCTATCACTTGTATTTAAAAGACTGATGAGGTTAGTGAACCGAACGTCCGTAGGTTATTCTGAAAAAAAGTTTTGCACTGAGAGAGCAACAGTCCTGTTTTATCGAGTTGCTGAACATAGGAAAGTAGAAACTGTTAAGTTTCTTGAATTAAAATAATTTACAGAATTAATTTTCCTCTTCGTTAGTTGCAGGAGAACTGGGTTAAATAAGTGGAAGGCAAGGACTCTTGCAAGTTGAATAATTAGACCACCAAGTTGTTGGGTACGATTATGGGTCCGGGTCTCCTAAAGCATTTCAAGTGATTGGCACGACTCGCGTCTCGAGGTAGCAGAGGCTGAAAATCATTGGTTGGGTAATAGGATCCGGTGGTCTCATCGACGTTAGACACAATAAATCTAAAAAGGAATTAATTGCCGTTTGGTCCTGTCCACTTCGGGTCCCATCCTCATCCTCTTTTATGCCGATGCCATCATGGCCACGTTACCAACCTAACATTCTGTCCCTCTTTCTAACATTCTTTTCACTCTTTCTTTTTCCTCATCCTCTCTGTCTAACTAGTTGACATCCTACAAATAAAATCAGCTCCAGGAATGCCCGCGACGACACGGGGCCTGTGGAACCTCTTCTCGGGTCCAATGTTGGTGACGAGGGATGTGAAGAAGGAGAAGAAGAAGAAGAATACAAAAAAGAGAAGAAGAGCCAGAAGTGTGTGAGAGCTGCAAGAAGAGAAGGATGTAATATATAGTAGCCTTAAGACAACGGTTAGGTACCTGAGAAAAGGGAACCCACCTACCTACCTGATGTATGTAACCTACGTCTGCACCTTCTTCTGCTTCTTCCTTACTGCACCTACGTAACTGGGACCAGATGCCCAAACTCATAGTGAGATCCTCCCATGCAACACACCTGGGATCAGAATGCGAAACGAATTATTTAATTGTCGCTTCGTGCTATATTTGTCTTTAGGATAGGGTATGTCTCTTTTTCATTTTTCTCTTATTCTCTTTTGTTCTATTACATTTTTTACGTACTTAGGTATTATAATTTTCTAAATTTCTTGACAACCTGTAATATTCAACATAGTTATTTTTTCAACAGTAGAACGTTACTAATGTAAAATTCGATTAATTTGAATCATTTACTACAAATAAATTTATAAAAATTAAAGAATCAGTCAAAAATTTAAGCAACTAATAAATTTTCTCACGGGAAATCCGACAATCAATACTGTAGATGTAAAAATCAGGTTGTCGAACCGTGTGGTCCACGCTGAGATTGTTCAGTCCAGGACTTAGAAGCTAAAGAAGATCGGTTGCAATGGAGTGACAGTTGCGGAATGTTTGCTGCTATCGTCTTCTCTGCCTTGGTTGCGGTGCGGAATAAAGTAGAAACGTGACTGGCGCGTGAGCAATTTACGTGGTTCCTTGCAATTTACGTCAAATGGCGTTGGGAATCGCGCGGGATTCCCGCATACCATATGAGCTCCATTTGTGTGTATGTGTGTGTAATATATACACAATGGCTGTGTAGAGTATTACAGAATACATTTTATACACACTTGCTGCATCCAATATTGGGTGTAGGTACCTACTATATCTGTCTTTATGTAATGATTCGGGTAGATCCGAACCTTGATATCACGTATCTCGTATTGCGGGACATTTCCTTTCCTCCGTTTAGGGAGAAGAAGAGATAAGTGGATGTTTGGAGAACATAAATTTAGAATAATTAGTACCACTCTGAATTTTCTCGAGAATAAATTCTCTTTGACAATGAAAAGCTGTGAAAGAACTGAGCAATCTTTTTTTTATTTTAGAAGATTGCTAAATAATTGACAAAGGTAAACAATTAATAGCAAAGAGAATATTTGTTCTCTTTCAAAACGGATTAGAGCCTCTCGAAAAAAGAATAATTGGGTCTTATCAATTGATGTATCGACTAAAAAAAATGGATGAATACACCGTCCATTTTTATTATTGATGTCCCCACCAAATAATTTTTTTGTGCTTAATTAATATAATATTTAAATAATATATTAATTGTACATTACAGAAAAGTAGGGATCACAAAAAATGATAGATTCTTGATTGTAAAAACAAACCTGAGGAGTAGCAACCTACACGCGAATCATCATAGAAGTCTAAAGAGGACCAATACTTAAATCACTCTGGTCACTCAGCCTCGCGGCTCAGATTGATGTAAAGCCATGTTTTACATTCAATTCAATTGGGCAAAAAACTGCTATCTGTTGAGGAACACTCTACCTCTTTCCGTCCATGTGATCCTTTCTCTTTTTTTCTCTTAGGCGTAGAGGCATTGTGCTGCCGTTAAAAGTTTCCTTTAGCTAAACGTGTCCTCGTCTCCAATCACTTTCGAACGTGTCCGAAGAAAAGCAGCTTGTTAGAAGTGCCCTTCGCAACTGACACAAGCGACTCATTATTTAACTATATTTTATTTCAATGAAAGCGAGTGTGCAGTGGTAGTCCATGGGAAAATCAAACTCGAATTATTCTCAAGTTAACGAAATCACCATCAATTTGAAATAATGGGAAACATTAAGGGTGTGTGGTCGGTAATGGATTGATATTGATCGACTGGCAAGCTGACACTACTTAACTAGTTACTATTTTCGCGAAAATTAACTTCTGATGAGAGATAATTCTTATTTAACTTCATATGCATACTCTTTAAAATAGAAACAGATTTAAATCTAATTTTTGTATTTATTTACAAATTTTTCATAAAATTAAAGAACCAAATGTAAGATCCAATCATAATTTTCAAATCCAAATAAAATGAAATTCAACTCCCATAAAACAAATTCAATTTTTCCAAAAAGAGTTAAAATTTAAGTCAATGTTGGAGAAATTTAAAAAATCTTAATAAAAAAATTAAAATAATTATTAGAATAATTTTGGAATAGGTTAAACATCTGAAGAGGTAGAACAAATTGCTCTATCTCCGAAACTATTTTTTTAAATGTAATTTTAGTTTTCTGTTCATGTATTTATTAGTGAAATATAAAGTTTGCTGTTGTCAATATTTGTAGACACAAAAGCTTAAAAAATGTTAAATCTTTTGCCCAGACTAACACTATAAAAGAAAAAATTTGTTTGGCGATGTTGAAAAAGCGTCTTAATAAAACTGTCAGCTCCTGTTAATTGGTGGCCGAAAGGTATTACGGTTGAGAGAGGTATGAACTGAACTCTTTAACTTATCTTCCGTGCTCATTAAACATATAAGTACTTCTAGGTTGCGTTTTATGCAAACTGTCAGGAACGTACGGCACGCATGTTTTGCAACAGCAATCAATCTTGGTGACTCGAGTCTCGTAAATAAAATGCTTTTCGTTGTTAAGTATAAGTGCATAGCTATATAGTATGTGAATAAGGCGAAAGTAAACCAAATCGGCGTTTACAGTATATCTTTTGCTACCCATAGATGGAAGTGGGCCGCGTGGAACGTCTCTCTGAACAATATTGAGTAGACGATCAATAAACAGGAGCGACCCGATGCAAAACCAACATTGAATTCCGCAGCAGGTTCAGTGCAGAACAAAAAAGTTGTTACAGAAGAAAAATTTAATTTGTCGACACAATAAATATTCCTTTTAATGTAACAAAACTAATTTTTAAAAAAGATTTACATTTTTCTTTCCCCTTTTTCATATGGGTTCTTTTATTTTTGCTTCAAATTAATCCTTACCAGTTTAAATTGTAAAAATACTCTACATTAGCATATATTTCAAATTTTTCCTATTTGGGGGCGTTAAGTAGGACTTGAGAATTTTATTAAAAATTAAAATTATTAACTTCCACCTTTTTTCAATATGCTATAAAGAACAATATTAAACCTCTCTCCTTCTGCAGTTTTTGATAAAACTTGACAATAATAGAAGTACTCATTCATAGGGCTAATGTATGTTTGCAAACTTTTTTTCAGTTGGATCGCTTCAGGAATTTCGCCCCATAAATAAAACCTCGATGAGGAAGTAAAGTGTTTGTGAAATGAAGACAAAAATTAATACTTTAACTTGGCAGCGGTTTTATTTATTTGCGGCCCTTCGGCATAAATTCTTTAAGAGGAATAATTATTAGACATACTTGAAATACCTGTTTATATTTTAAGCAATGCTTCGGTGAAATAATGTGTTTCAGTGACAAACAGCAGATTACTAGACAAATTCTTAGTGTTCTTTTCATTAAATATTGCGTTCTTAAAAACATTTTAAAAAATGTCAATTATTGAAAAAATAATTATTAGAAAATTAAAATAGGAATCGTCATCAAAGGCGTCAATCTGTCTCCTGGAGTGGTCAATAGGATTACCAATCGGACCGCCAATCGGAATGAATAGCTCGTGGCCAGCGAATTTTAAGCGAACGTGAGGGAATAAAACAGGAAAGACACTAATTAGTGATTCCAAGAACCAAGAACACGAACGGTACCACAATCGTCTCGTTCCTCTCAACCCACCTTCTCTGGTTTTGATGGTGTTGGTCTAAGACCCTCAATCAGGAATAGCGATAGGAGAGGGTACATAAAATAAAGATAGAAAGGATTTCCAAACAGGCTCAGAAAAGGAAACCGTTCCAAACATCCAACCTACATACTTCGAGTGTCGACCCTAACCTCGGAATTCATTACCCCTGACCTCTAGGCCTTCTTTCTGATCTTCTCAGTCCTTTCTTATCAAGATAACATGTTCAGAGCAGCTTCTGTTACCTTACCACAAAATACATTTAAATACCGGTAACTCAAAAAATAGTATTACGAATGTCAATTGTAACATTACTTTCTAATACATAAAAAGTATTTGTATACATATCAGAAAAAAATGATGAGTTGGTATTGACAATATTGACGTTGATTGGTGTGTTGTATTATCAAAAGTGAACGAATGTTCAACAATAGAAAAAGTGGAGGAAGTTATCAGGTGAATATTGTTGACAGAGGTCGATTAAAATTCCATTTTCTGTCAATCAACGCAATCAATCTCTTGTATGTACAATAATGTACATCGTGGACCACAGGCAAACGACACGTTTCGCTTCAGAGTCCTCCCCGTTTATAGAAGCAAATGTTTAAAAGACAGAAGCCTGTGAGAAGAGGAATCATATAGGAAGAGAAACAATCAATTCTCCCGGAATCATACCTACGATGCCTGAAGTGTTTCCAGTTGATAAAAATTAATTACTGAAAATGTTTCGATGGACTCATCAATTTCAGTTCAGGTTGATCATATACACATTTCACATAAATTGTTATCTCTGAGAAAAAATTGATTTCAATTCTAAACTGGCTAAACAAAATGTTTACAAGGATTACCAGTCTCTTATGAAAAATAATTACTGGCATAATTATTGGAATAACTACTGGATTAAATACTGGAATCTCCAATAATTTTTTTGCGAAATTTATTTTTTTAGCATAATAAAATTTTCATTTAAATTTCAATAAAATCGTAGTTTTGTTTTTAATATATTCTTATGCATTTAATTTAGAACAAAAAAACTAATGATGTATGTATGGCGATAAAATTACTGGAGTTTCCAGTAATCAATTCATAAGTTATTCCAGTATACTGTAAAAAAAGAAGTTAAATTTTAACTCACCAGGGGATGCTATAAAAGTCCTACCCTTTTGGAGTTGAAGCTAAGGGAGTTAATCCTTTACGAGTTAATTTTATTCCTGGAGAGTTAGTTTTAACTAACTAAATCATATTAACTCCCTTTTTGAGTTGATTTTTAACCCGAAAAATTTACATATTCTATAATATTACAGTAATATTACCATGAGGAGGAGATTTTAATATTACTGGAATATTACGTGCTAATTGGGTAGTAACAATATATTATATAACACAGTGCCTTTTTATATAAACATTCATGCAATACTTTTAACAAC